TGTGTGTGTGTGTGTGTGTGTGTGTGTGTGTGAGTGCACATGTGTTGTAAGTAGAAGATGCTTGAGAAATTCTCCACTCCCCTGCCCCAATATGCATGTTACATAGCTCTGACTGTGCAATGACACCCCAGTCAACTCTGGGGGAATATTAGCTGATATCCTACAAACACCAGCAAAACTTTTCTTTTTGATGAAAAAAAGCAACAAGAAGAAAAATGCTATTGCTTCAGTGGTGTGCATTGACCTGCTGCTTGCACTGGAATTGCCAGCGCTTCATACAGTATTGGCATTTCAGAGGACCCCCAACACATGCACACATACATATACATATTCCTCCCAAGAAACTGCTGCAGTTAAATGGTAAGGTTGCCTGCCAGGCTTCTCACCTCAAAGGTCAGACCCCCTTCCTCCCAGGATGTTTTGCACACTGCTCCCCTGAGCTGGACTTGCCATATGGGGCAGCTAATGTGATCTTTTTTTAAAGTGCCTGTTACGCTATGCGTACATAGCTATGTATTGCTTCTGTCCAGCAGAGTCTGATGGCTCTTTAGTGACCACAGATGAATAAAAATAATCTCCATGCTGACCCTGTCTCCTTCTTGGCAAGCCACACAGCACTAACTGCAGGACTGACACTCATGCAGAGACCCTACAAAGAGCCAAAGCCAAGCCCCAGTGACGGCTCCTCCAGGAGGGAACCTGCAGCCTTTCTTCCCACACAAATTAATCATGCCTACTGCCTCTCATAGTCTACTGCTTGCAGCTAGCTACTCACAGAGCCTGCTTGCATTTTAGGGCCAAACTCCTCTCTGTGGCTTTACTGGCTCATCTGAAGACAGCTGACCCCAGCCAGGATCTGGAGTCTTTCATAGGAAAGATTTGCAGAAAAGCAGTTCCCTAGCAAAGCTACTAAGACACTAGCCTACCCTCCCTAAGCAGAGTGAAAAAACTTCATGCTGTCATACTGATGAGGACAGCGTGGCTATTTGGTCTCTAACATGATGGGTGCATCTCTGGTCTACAAGCCAGTTTCCTTCAGGCTACTCAGCTCCTGAATCAGAACTACTCCCAGTCCTATCTGTTTCTTCCACACAGGTCTCTGGGGAGAAGTCTGACACAGTAATCCCCTGACTACCAGGGATGCTGTAAAGTATTCATCTACTGCAGTATAGGACCCCATACATAGTGCCTGGAAGGGCAGCATACATTGCTGTGTGAGTGCATAGGTAAACTTGGACAGCAAATATAAAGGGCTGCAGCAGCAAGGACCGCTTAAGAGCTCATCAGCACAGAGCTTTAGGGAGGCACACTCATCTCATAAACCTACTGAAAATAAATGGCTTCTATTCTACTGCATTAATATCAGTGAACATAATAATAGTTATGCTCCTGAACTACCTTCCCCTGCTAAGCCTCAGGGGCCCTGGGCAATAATTTCATAATAAAACATATTAAGAAGTCAATAATCTAATTAACACCATCCCCTAAAGCTGCTCAGATACACAGGCAGGTAGACAGAAGGAGATCTAGCATGGGACAAAAGGAGGAGGAGAAATGTTTTAAACAAAAAGGGGACTATGGTTATAATGATAAACTCCTTTGACGGAAGAAAGAAACTGTGATTAAACAGAGAACAGACGTAATAACACCACCTCTGGGCTTATTTCCATGAATTTCCCTGAAGCAGCATGTACCTTCTTTAAGTAATTCTGAATGCACAATAAACCTTTGAATCTATCTTAATTTATTAGGCCTTGAAGCCTTTGTTGCTGCATAATAAATTCATCATGTATTTGAATACAAGCCATTCTCATTGTAAATATGCAGGCATCCAGAACCCCAGCT